GGGGTGCGGGGCCCGGGGCCCGGGTCGGCGGGGGTCCGGGGCCGGGGCCGGGGTGCCGGGTGCCGGGGCCGGGGTCCCGCGGGGGTGCCGGGGGTCGGGCGGGCGCGGGGGTTGATTGCGGGGTCCGGGGATCAACGCCCCCGCGGGAGGGGGTCCGGGGGTGAAATCCCGGCCCCGGCTTTGCCCCCGGGGGTCCCCGGGTGACAACCCTGGCTGCCTGGTCATGGAACTCTGCTACTGCTCGTACACGTAGTTGTCCAGCGGAGGGGACGCAAATACGGGGCTCTCTGGTGCCCTGTGAACCGTGCCAGTACACAAGACCGTTGTCCCCGAGAGAGTAGTTCGGGACGGTCTTGCCACTCTGAAGGGTCGCATGGATGTCGCGATAGTTGGGGCAGTGGCAGTACTGAGTGCGAAACTCATCGATCACCGAGTGGTGGATGGTGATGACAGAGATGGAAGAGAGATGGATATGCTCCTGGTCGTGGTCAGGGCGCCGGGATAGGGCATCTGCGACCCGATTAGTCTCACCCTTGATGTGCTCAGTGGTGAAACTAAACTCGGATAGGTCGCGCCACCAGCGAGCCTGTCGAGGAGTGAGCTTCAGTTTTGTCAGAAAAGCCTGGACAACAGAGTTGTCCGTACGCACCGTGAACGGTGCCCCGTGCAGGTAGTGACGCTAGTGCCGAGCAGCATAAACTACTGCGAGAACCTCACGTTCATCAGCAGTGTAGTTCATCTCGGCGGGCAGGAGCTGACGGGAGTAGAAGGCTATCGGACAATCACCTGAGCGAGACTCGACAGTGCCGTCCTCGGCGATGGTAGGAGAATAGTCAATAGAAGGCTCGTCAGTAGCTGGACGAGTAGGCGTCAGTCGGGAAGCAGTGGTAGGGGTAGGTGGTGGGAAGCGAGGGATACGAGGATGAGAGGAATCAGGAGAGGAGGGGAAGACCTGGGAAAGCACTGGTCCTACGGCAAAGTCTGACGCATCGGTGGTAATGATAACAGGGCGATCAAAATCGGGTAGGTGACGAACCGGTGCACATGTCACCGCCTTCTTGAGGGCGCGGAAGGCGTCCTCGTGGAGGGGTGTCCAAGCCCAGGGTGGGTTCTTCCGAAGGAGGGTGGAGGTAAGGACGTAGGAATACCTAGCGTATCCCCAAATGAAATTACTATAGTAGCTGGTCAGGCCTAGGAAGCTGCGAAGCTGCTTGGTGGATGTGGGGGCGGGCCACACCACAATAGCAGTGATCTTCGCGTCGCCCATGTGGAGACCCTGGTCAGACACGTAGTGTCCTAAGAAATCCACTTTGTGCTGGGCAAAGCGGCACTTGCTCAACTTGGCGTAGAAGCCATGTCTGCGCAAGCGGCCAAGGACGTCGCGGAGGTGTCTGAGGTGCTCCTCAAGGGTACGACTGTAGACCAGGATATCGTCGAGGTAGACAAGAACGTACTGCTCCAGGATGTCCCTGAAGATGTCGTTCATCGCCCTCAGAAAGATAGCGGGTGCGTTGGTGAGGCCGAATGGCATCACCGTGAACTCGTAGTGGTCGAAGCGCGATCGGAACGCGGTCTTCGGCTGGTCGGTTGCAGCGACGCGGATCTGATGGTAACCGCTACGAAGATCAATCTTCGTAAAGAAGCGGTTGCCTGCTAGGCGGTCGAACAGCTCATCGGAACGAGGCATGGGGTAGTTGTTCTTAACCGTGTAGTGGTTGAGACCGCGGTAGTCGATGCAGAGATGAAGAGTTTCATTCGCTTTGCGAGCAAAGAGGACGGGTGCACCCCACGGGGAGTTGCTGGGTTTAATGAAACCCAGTCTCAGGAGCTCCTCAAGCTGACGCTTGAGTTCGGTGGCCTCGGGGATCGAGAGTCTGTAGGGTGCCTGGTGGTGAACACGATGGTTAGGCACAAGCTGAATGGAGTGCTCGACGTCACGCATCGGTGGGATGCCGGCGTACGAGAATGACGATGGGAAAACGTCGTGGTACTCTCGGATGAGGTCACAAACTGCGGGCTCCAGGTCAGCCGTATATCGTGCGAGTTCCTCAGCGTCAGTGTCAGCGGGCGACGGCGAGGTGGACTCGACGGACGGCGGAGGGACGGAAGTAGAGATGGGAGCCATGGAGATAGAAGGAGGATCCGGCTCCAGACGGATGAGCTCGGCGTCGAGACAGGGTGGATCATAGTGTAAGAGATCTGTCACGTTCACAATAAAGAAGGTGACGTCGTCCTGTCTGATGAAGTGGGCGAACTGCTGAGGCGAAGTGACAGTAATAGAAGGAGATGGTGTGGGCATGGAAGGCTCCGGGGGAGGAGGATCGGGGCGTGGTGTCGCAGTGGTACCTATGAACGGTACGCGATACGTCTGTCCACACTTCGTTTTAAGAACGAGAGTGTTGGTCGCCCAATCGTCCTTGGTGTTGCGGAACCGACGAGACCACGGCGTGCCGAGAATGAAGTCGTACCCTGTCTCCATCACATCGAAATTTGCAGAGGAGCGGTGGCGACGAGACGTCGGGGGACGATCAGTCGGCTCGAGGGTGAGGAAGAAAGGGAGGTCGGTGACCGTCTGATCGAAGAAGCGCTGGGTCTTGTCATCTCCTAGGGTGACGGAGATGGGAGTCGGAGACCCGATCGTAGGTAAGCGGACTTCGTTCACCATACGGGGGTGAATGAAGTCGCCCTGAGAACCGGAATCCCACAGCGCTGAGTACACCCTCGTGGAGGTCCCAGTCGTATTGGGATGATCGGGAGGGTGCGATCAGGGTCAGAGAGGATGGTGAGAAGGCGACGCATGGCAGCGACATGGAGGGTGAGTCGCTCTTGACGAGCCTGGAGTATGCTCAAGTCCAGAAGAGAGGACACAACGTCCTCGCGAGTCGCAAGCTACTCGCTGCAACGGGCTGAGCGAATGGCTCGACGAGTCGGTAGTCGCGGTGGGGAAGGAGGGGAGACGGTGGTCTGCGGAGGCGCAGACGGTACTGCAAAAGAGGGCTGAGTACACTCTGTCGAGTCCTGCGATACCTCAACTCCAGTAGCGAGAGGGGCGAACCGCGACGGAGATGTCGGGAAGCCCACTACTGCGGGGGGCGCAGATGTACACTGCACCGTGGCTAGGAGGCGCCGCGGGGATGTGAGGCGCCGGGGGGGAACTGAGCACGACGCTGGCGGGAAAGGTCAGCGTAGTGGCGGTCAAGGGCGGTGGTGTAAGGGCACCGCGAGGAGGTATGACCGTCCTGACGACATCGCAAACATCCACGTCGACCCAAAATAGTCGCGCGCTCCTTAGCGGAAAGGACACCGCGAGGAGGGACAAAGCCCTGAGGGAGGTCCTGCTGAGGGACCTCGGGGGGCGACGCGCCAGCGTGACCAGGGCGGCTGCGTGCCCGGGAAAGGGTGGAGAAGATGAGCTGGAGGCGCTCAACCATAGAGAGAGTAGGGTCCTCCAGGTGGTGCTGGACAGCCTCGCCAAGGTGGAGGTCATCGCTATGGTCACCCTCTGGCGACAGCGGGGCACCAGCGCCCTGCTCACCATACTCGAGCGCGTTGAAGCGGCGCGAGAAGTGGCGGCCCTGCTGCGCGGAACGGCAGGGGCGACCGTGGAAAGGGGAACGACGCTGGGAAGTGCCGTGAGAGGAGGAGGAGGCGTAACCAGTACGCTGTGGCTGGGAGGAGGAGGCGCGGTGAAGACGGGCCCGCATTCGCTGATGGTCCCTGGCGGCCTCGTAAGCCTGCGGGGCCGATGTGAACTCGTACCGCCATAGCTCGGAGTGGTAGGCTGGCCAAGAAATGATCGATAAGGGCCGCCTCGGGGAGGAACGCCATGTCACAAATGAGGCGGGCGTCCTGAAAGACCTGGATGTGGCGATCCAGGCCGGCAGCGCCACCAGAGACGGACCAGCGTGTAGTGACGACACGCTCGAAGGCGTCAGTCACGTCATATCGGGCTCCGAAGCGATCCTCGAGGAACGCCTGGAAATCCATGAAGGTCGGAGTTCGACCCGCACGAACGGAGTAAGCGTAGAAATCCTCCCAGGTGTCGAAAGGACCGCCACGCAGGCGCGTGGAGAGGTGAGCCACCCACGTGTCGGGTGCAGCACCCATGAGCTGGAGCATGCGGGTGGCAGACTGTAGCCACCGAGACACGCGTATGCCTGTACCGTCATACAAGGCAATGTCCGTCAAGCGGACGAGTGGTGCGCCACCGTTTTGGCGGCGAGGAGAACGGGAAGCAGGGGACTGCGCTACGGCTGAATAAATCGGCGCAGGTCCTGGAGGAGGAGGCGCAACTAACTGTACGCCCAGGCCGCATGGTGGAGTGGCGAGGGAAACAGCGGCAGGCTGCACGGGAGCTGCTGTAGAAGAGGTCGCAACAACCGAGGGGATGGGGAGGAGGTAGGATGGGGATGGGTAGGGTGCAGGGCGAGGGAAGCGAGCCTGCATGGAAGGAAGAATAGAGGAAGACGGGGGTGCGTCGGAAGGCGTGGCCACCTGTGAGGGTGGGGGTGGTTGAAGGCGTGAGAGGGCGAGGTCGGTCCGCAGCTGGGCGATCTCGTCCTCGAGACCTCGAACGTAGGTCGAGCGAGGTGTGGCAGGGGGAGACGCATGAGCGGCGCGAGGCATCCCACAATGGGGAGAGCCAGATGGCGCTGTGGTCGTGCGAAGAGGAGGGAGAAGTGGGGCACCCGGAAAAGCTGCGACCATGGTAGCGGGTTGTGGTACCGTGGCCGTAGTGACCGGGGTCTGGGCGGGTGCGCCCGTARACTGAGGGAGGACCTGACTCGTGGCGGCCGTCGTGCTAGGGGCGTGGACGGTCACCAAGATGGCCGGGTCGGGGGCAGCGGAGGAGGAAGCTCCACCGTGGCCACCCTGTCGGAGGACGGGGGACCCGGACTGGGAGCCAGGAGATGGAGGACACGCAGCGCCCTGGAGTTGATGCACGCCGGCAGCAAGGGTCGTCACTTGCGCCTGTAAGGGCGCGAGGGTCGCGAGTTGCGCCTGGATGGGCACAAGGAGAGAGGTGAGGAGGGTGTGCAGATCCCCCTGGGGCTGGTGGCCCTGGTCCGTCGGCACGGGTGTGAAGCCCTGTGCCATGGTCGTCGCCGCGTCAACGGCGTGTGACGCGCCGTCGGCCATGGGAAGGTGACGGGCCGGACTGGAGGGGGCCAGGAGAGGTCCACGTGAGCGGAGGGCGTAGGGGGGAATCCGCGGTAAAAAGCGGCGGACGGTGCTAGCAAGGCTAGCGCAAGCGCCGTCAAAGGGGGAGGGGTGGTTCGGGTCCAAGGTGCCCGAAGAGGAAGGGGAAGTAGGGGGGTTTTGAAGAATCCTAAACCCTAGAAAAAACCTAAGAAAACCCTAACCGAAGTTTAAGTGGTTAGGGTAGGGTACCGGTGACCTAATCAAAAAGAATAAAATAGCAAGCATAGGGGGGGGAGGCGGGAGAAAAATAAAAAATAAAAAGCGAGATTTCAAGAGAAAAACAAAAGAAAATAAATAATAAAATAATTAAGAAAAGAAGTAAACAAAATGTGAAAAGAAAAACAATATTTATTTTTTTGAAATTTTCGGCAACATTTCCCTACCCCCCATGGGGTCAAGAATGTGCCAAGGGGAAAGGAGAGATCAAGGTGAGCACACTAGGTTTCAAAATGCCGCAAATAAAAAGAATTTTCAAAAAGAAATAAAGAAATAAGAAATAAATAAATAAATAAATAAATAAGTAAATAAGTGGGTGAGGAGGTAGGGAGAAATGAAGTATCTGATTTGTCAAAAATTTCGGCAGCATTTCGTTACCCCCATGGGTTCGAAGTGTGCCGAGAAGACTACGTGTGAGAAAAACAGAAAATTTCGGCAGCACTTCGTTACCCCTACGGGGTCAAAACGTGTGCCGAAAGTAGTAAAGACTAACACCTAATCAGATTTAGGGTTGCCGTAGAGAAAATCGAATTTTCAGAATAAATAAAAAAATAAATGAAATAAATCAGAAGATGAGAAAAGAAGGTGGGGAAGAAGATAATTCGAATTTTCTTGGAAAAAAGAGAAAATATGAATCAAAAGGGAGATAGAAAAAAAGAAAAAACAGAAAAATTCGAAGTAGGGGGGGAAGGGGGGATGAGAGAGTGATGGAGAGAAGAAAGAAATAGGTGGGAGAGGAAAAAAGATGGAAGTGGAAGGTGGGGGGATGATGTGGTGGCAGTTGGGGAAGAGGAGGGTGAGAGAATGGGAGAGAAAGAGGATGGGGAAAGATGGAGAGTGATCAAGAAACTAAGAGGGAAGGAGGAGAGAAAAGAAAAGAAATGAAGAAAAGAGGGTAAGATAGTGGTTAGTGGGAGAAAAGGTGGGGTGGGGAAGGTAAAAAGAGGAGGGGAGAGAGGCAGTGGAAGGTGGGGGAAAAAAAAGGGGAGAGAGAGATGATACCTGGCCCTTGGTGTCTCCAGGGGCACAAGGTATACCAAGACCAGGAGGGTCTTGGCCTTCGCTACAGCCAACCAATTGGAGGATTTAGGGGGGCTGAGATCTTGATCAGCCCCTAGTTGCAGCACTGCAGATCCAGGGTGTGCTGTGTGAGCATACCCTGATGGATGATGATGATGATCTAGGGTTGGCTGAGATCTTGATCAGCCACCCTACTGCCACAGTCACACAGCCCCCTAGCCAGGGGGAAATCTTGAGCTGCTGCAAAGCTGCTGCTGCAGCAGTAGAGAGATAGTAAAAAATAATAATAATAATGATGCTGTGGTGCAGCCCCCTAACCAGGGGGGTCTTCAGTCCACAGCAAAGTGCCACGTGGCACTGCAGGTGGCCACGTGCACAGGCAGCAGCAATCACGGGGGGGGGGGGTAAATAGCAGCCTCTCCTGTTGCTGCCTCGCTGGCCGCAGCTTGCTGCTCGTCGGGGGGGGGCGGGGGGGGTAAATAGCCAGCACCTCTTCAACACGAGGTTACCGTGCTACAACGCCATGCATAGACTGTGGCCAGTGTGTTATGAGAGTGGTACACGCACGCGCATGGGCAGCAGCTGCCTGGGTTCAAACCCCAGCGGCAGCATGCATCCCGGATCTTGATAATATAATCCGGGAGCGGGGCGGGGCGGGGCAGCGGGGCAGCGTGGGCGCGTGGCGCGCGCGCGTGCGACGGCCTTGCTGTCGGGTTTCGCTGTTCTCCTCAGCTGTACGGGGTGGTGGGTGGGAGCGGGGAACGTTCCCGCTCCGATACCAATGTAGCGGACCCACCAGGTGTTGTGCTCCGCTAGTGATAGAGATGGAGATGGAGGAAAAAGGGGGGAGCGAGATGGCACAACGCAGCTCCCCACGCAAGACTCCAACGCACGTACTCCAAAATGTGCAAGTGAAGAATGAGAATGAAAACAGACAACTGCTGGGGTATACCCCAGCGGACTGACCGGACTGGACTGGACTCGCTGGTACCGACAGAGGTACCGCCCTGGACTGGACTGGACTGGATTGCCCCCGAATAGAACACAGGCCTGTGAGAACAGGCCAAGGGGCTGGTCTCACAGGCCCACCCGAGGTCCGCTACATGCAACCATGGCATCTTGAGCTTTCTTGATATGCTCTACAGCCTGCTGCAGCATCCGTTCGTACTTTACAACAAACTTGATGCTGCCAGGGCTGCAGTTGGCTGATCTTTCGGCAACAGGAAGTCTAATGCAGATCTGGGCTTCCAACCAAGATGCAATTGGTTAGGAGTAATGTTGGTAGTGTTGTGCATGGCGTTATTGTACAGGCTGGTGACGTGGGGAAATTTATCGTCCCTGTCATCCTGACTTGGTTTAATGTAATGCCGAAGCAAGTGATGCACTGCAAGGTTCATTTGTTCAGCCTGACCATTGGACTCAAGATGGTTCCCTGATGTCATTTGCGGTCGGCTACCCATCTGTTGGGTTGTACTTCGCCACAGTTCACTAGTGAATCTGACATCCCTGTCGCTTACAATAGACTTAGGGAGGCCAAAGTCACGTACCCAGTTGTCCATAAATAGCTTGATGACATGGTCAGTCCTAGCTGTCTCAGGCGTAGCGATCAGTCTAGCATACTTTGTGAATCGGTCCACAATGACAAAGATGTGTCGTTTACCGCTCTTCCTGGTCACAAGGGTATCCATGAAATCCATGGACACACTTTGACCTGGACGAGCAAGGATGGGCAAGGGATTGATAAGCCCAAGCGGTGCCTGCGTCCGTGACTTGGCACGCTAACAAACCTGACAAGTTTTGAAATACTTCTTTGCATCATCCATCATTGTGGGCCACCAAAATTTATGCACTAAGTTTGCTGCTGTCTTTTTATAACCAAAATGTCCAGCTGCATCATGACAATCTCCTAAGAATAGACTACGCAAAGACTCTTTATTCGAAACACACAATCGTTTATTCCCAACCTTCTAAGGAAAAGCAAGTCGTCAACCAGCACAAGCTCATCGGAAGTAACCTTATCTTTAGCTTCCAGTTTGCGGATGATCTCAGACATGACTGCGTCCTCTCGATAGGCTTCCACCATGGATCCGGTTACATCGTCAGAAATTGCAAACTCGGTCACTAACGCGCCCAAATAGTCTGCCCTTCGCGATAGTGCATCAACCACTTTGTTGTAATCTCCCTTGAGAGGGTCGAGCTTGAAGTCATACATGTCTATGACTTCAATCCACCTCTTGAGCACGGGCTATGTCGTAATCCAGTGCAGTGTCTCATGGTCAGATCTTTACATAAAAGGATCTGCCTAGGAGGTAGTGCCTCCAATGGACCAGCACTGTCGTACCAAATACCCTTACAAGGGTATTTGGCTCGTTTTCTGCAAGTCACACCAGTGCAGCCTCGTCCGCTTGACGGCGCACGTGCGGAGAGGAAGTTTAGTTCCTCGTCCGGGTGAGCATCGTGCGTAGGGTATCGACGGCGAGGTGCAACCATGCGCGACCTGGGTGCGTGTTGCGTCGCAGCCTCCTGGGACGTGCGACCCTTGTCCCCTTACTTTTATTGTTTCCTCGCTTTTATTCTTATTTTTAGTAATTTTATTATTATTATTATTATCACTTTTTTTTTTTTTTTTGGTGTTTGTCTTTGACCCGGTGACCAGTTCCAAAACCGACGTCGGGCCCCATGGGCCTGGCTCGGCTACTACCTTGTCGGACACGGGTGGCCGTTACGACAATTGAGGACTTTCATCACGCTGTCGAGCGCACGGTCTGTATTTAGTTACAGCCCGATTCAAAAATGTGTGGCCAACGACCTTGGCGAGAAGACGAACGGGGTAACGGAGGTAAGTCCCCCTTACTCTTCCTCCATTGTCATCGTCATACCCCTCCCGTCCCTTTCTCAATTCCTCTTCCCTACTTCTTTCATCACTCTCCCTCACACATTCCTTCTTTGGAATGAATTACAACTGCACCCAGCCATACACATGGCCAGATTTACCTCAAGATTTTGAGAAAATCGTAAGTCATTGCGATGAAGGATACGAACTCAAACTAAAATAGCAATGACCTGATCTTACAACATAGATCAGATAGATCAACTCATGAGGGATTGGCAACTACGCAGAGCAACGTGATTTTGTGCAGCGCACGACCAAGACTAGTCCGGTCTAATAACAAGCAGTGATGGGCTACAATGACGAGCAATGTCTGGGCACTAATGATGGCCACGAGTAGCAACCGGATTACCAAATACCAATGGTACTTCCGCTACGAATGGACAAATACATCGCCCGACGTTTTCCAATCACTATCTATGTAGTCCTGCACTTATGACAGGTAGGCCCGACGACACCCTTTGCCTTTCTCCCTGCTTCTCTATTCTATCGCTCCTTCCCTTATTCATCCAGTCCTTCTCCTCGTTCCCACTCTCGCCTCTTCCTTAATGCACCTAGGCCACAATTTATGCCAAGTTTATTCGCCCCTAACATGTACACCGCCTACAGTGGTGCGTTATGCAACTACGATGAGGGGTAGATCAATCCTCAGACAAACGAACCTGGCATCGATGAGGAGCACTTTGAAGTTATCACCAAGCAGGCTAGTACTACTCCAAAGAGGGCATGATGGTTGGGGTCGAGGTAAAACGAATCTTCCACTGCAACGTGGAAGATATAACAAAGGCAAGGCGCCCGGATTTGAGTGCGGTCTAGCACCATAGTTCGACTTTCAGTTCTTCCGCATCATTCACAGTAAGTCCTTACTCTCTCCCTCTCTCATTC